AGCTTTTGAAACAAAGAGACCCCAAAATACAGTGGCTTAAACAAGAGCAGTTTGTTTCTCTCTTACCTAAGTCTAGTCAGTGGGCACTACTCACCAGGTCACCGAGAGACCCAGGTACTTCCACCTTTTCGCTCCTCAGTCCCCTAGGCGTCAGGATTGTTGCCACACCCGGGGTTCAGCGAGGGAAGGGGTTAAGAGCCGAAGTCCAGGTAAAGTTGGAGAAAACTGAGAAGTTGCTCATATCATTTCTGCTCACAGCCCATTGTCACTGACCCATCTTACTCACACGGTCACACCTGGCTACAAAAAAAGGTGGAATATGTAGCCTTTAACTGGTAGCCAAGTGTCCAGGGTAAAAGGGAGGATGGATTTTGGGGAGACAAGATAGCTATCAAGTCTGTCATACTTTGTAGCACATAAATAGAGGCTGCTGTTTTCATGAATTATTTCTAGTATGTGTTCTTTATTTTTTTTTTAAAGATTTATTTATTTATCTGAGAGAGAAAGCGTGCACATACATGCAAGCGAGGGGGCGGGGAGGGGCAGAGGGCGAGAGAGAGAGAGAGAGAGAGAGAGAGAGAGAGAGGGAGACTCCCTGCTGAGTGTGGAGCCCCGAGGCGGGGCTCAATCTCACAACCCTGAGATCACGACCTGAGCCAAAATCAAGATTCGGACGCTTAACCGAGTGAGCCACCCAGGCGCCCCCAGTATGTGTTCTTTAAATGCATTTCCTTAACTAGATCATTGCCTGGAACACAGTAGAGGCTCAACTAATATTTTTCAGGTGAGAAATCCTGGATTAATAAACAAATTGTTGGGAGGGGGTGGAAGGATGGGGTAACTGGGTGATGGACATTAAGGAGGGCACATGATGTAATGAGCACTGGGTGTTATGTAAGACTGATGAATCACTGACCTCTACCTCTGAAACTAATAATACAGCATATGTTAATTAATTGAATTTACATAAAAAATAAACAAATTGTTTTTTCCTTCAGTTAAGATATTTTTATGGACGTCCTGGGTTTTTCTAGTGTAACCTCTTTAATTTGCTCTCTTTTGTCAGATGGGAGGGAGAGCTGTAAGGATGGGCGGGGACAGCAAGTACCAGCAACTACGTGAGGATTACCTCATTGAGCCAAAGGGCATCTTGCCCCTCACAGTGGAGGTGTCTGTAGGGCAAACCAGCAGTTTTGGCTGCGTGGCTAGAACTTTTCAAAAAGCAGACACTTTCTTTTTCAGAGCATTAACTGCTGCCTGATGTAAGGGATGAGCTGGTCTAACATGTTTGGCAGGCTGTGATTTCTCTCTTGCATCATACATAAACATCAAAATGAGCTTTGTAAATTCAGCTCTTAGACATTTAGGTCTCTGGAGTTGGCTGGATCTTGCCTGTCAGTATCTCATCATGCTAGCAGACTTCAAAGACACAAGCACATTTTTTTCCTGGAGGGAAGGAGTGAGGAAGAAGATCCTTCCTGAAGGTTTGGACCCGTCTGTTTGGATGGTCATGCTGGAATCTTGGACTGTCCGTTCTGGAGGGCCGTTAACGGTGACCGGCCATCCGCTGCAGGAGTCATGTCCCCAACACTGTCGTCAACCCCAGCTTTAGGTGGAACAGTTTCTGCGAAATCACCAGTCTCTAGGAAGTTGGTTTCATTTTTGGAAAGCTTTGATTGTAGACATTTCTTTCCTTCACATCGTGCCGAACTCTTTCTCTCCGTGATATCTACCAATTTTACTACCACCAGTTTCTGCTCCCTGGTGCCACAAAGCACCTTTCCTCTCCCTTCTGCAGCTCTTTCTTCAGATGGTGTGCCAAGATGCTGAGCGCCATGTATCCATAAAGTAATGCCATTCTCACTGCCTAGTTCTCTGGATTAACCCCATGCTCAGGATGGGAGTCGGGACGCCGTCACACATGGGAGCCATCCCTGAAGGAAACGCAAAATTCATCTGTGATACTGAGTTTGGAGTGGATGAGCATGCTGGGTGAGCACTAGAAGATCTCAGTCTTGGCCCCACTAAAATGTCCAAAGTCAAGGAGACTGGGGAGCACTGTCCTTATCCTTCCGTGAAGATCATTTGCTGTGCTTGTTCTAGTCACCAGCCCTGGGCCAGTGGCTTAGAGCGGTTCCAGGCACTGCCCGTGCCCTATGCTCACGGGGGCAACTCAGGCAGAGAAACACAATGAGACCAGAGTACCATTCACATCAGAGGCTGAGGGGCCTAGAAATGGGATCTTTTGACTTTGGTGGGGGGGCTTGTATGGGATGCAGGCAGCTAGGAAGATTTCTCCAAGTCTAGTCTCAGTTTGGGGAGCCACTGGGGAACGTGCCTAGAAGTTCAGAGGCAGGAAAGAGCAGGATATGTTCAGGGTGGCAAGTAGCTCAGTGTGGTTGGTATGTTTTGGGGAGTGGAGTCTGGGAAGGCAGGCAGATGCTGTCTAAAAGGTCTGAGGTGTGAGGTCTAGGGGGGCGGGTTGGAACTTTTTCCTGAAGATATTAAATGTCACAGGACTGGAATCGAAGGAGTGACATGGTCAGCTCTGGGGTAGGAAGACGCGCTGGCAGCTGTAGGGAGTGAGACTTGGAGTGGGCTGAGATTGATGGCAGATCAGCCCAGAGGTTATTGAATAATTTTAGGCAAGAAATGCTAAGGGCCTGATCTAAAGCTGCAGGGAAGGAGAGGAGAGATTTGAGAGAGTTATGGAAAGTAACGGGCAGGATTTGGATACCGAGGTAATGGGGGAGGGAAAGGGGCGCATGAGGAATAGCAGGGCCTAAGGTTGGGGGGAATCTGGAGGGGCTTCAATTCTTGTGGCTAAAGTGCTGGAAGCTCTGGCCCAGTCAGAGCTCACTGGGCTCGCTTCTTCCTGAGAGGTGGGGCCGACAGCGGTGGCCAAGGACAGGGGGCTGCTGTTTGATCAGGTGAGACAGGAGAGTTGTGGCCTGCGGTCCATAGAGTTCAAGAATGAGATGCAAATCAGGTATCAACATATTGTCTCCTTTTGGCCCTTTCTGACTGATGTGGTCCTGAGCACAGTTTCAGATCTAGTGTCCCAGGGAATCTGGCCTGGCATCCGTAATACCTCTTGGGCAGCCTGGGGTCTGAAAGACACTGGCCTCAGCTCAGGAGTGGAGTGTGGGGGGTCCAGCTTGCTCCAGTCTAGTGGTTTCTTGGTTGTTTAGTGTCAAACTCATATTGGGGACACTCAGTGATTAGTCTAATTACACGTGTTTTTGCCTCTTTTTTCTCTTTTCTAGCGACAATTACACATGCAATGTTTCATAGATCGGTTCTTAAGTTTTTCTACAAACAGACCACAACTACTGCCTGGTATCAGCCACCAAATTATTAATTCCTAAACTAACACGAAACAAATGCCTCTGTGAGGCAGTTAAAGTATTGCAAGAATATTTATTTTGAGTGACTAAACTATACACTTCCTGTTCAGTGTTAAGGAAAATTGGTCTTATTATTCCAGGGAAATGTCAAGATCACTAAGTATCGTAGCATTTTGACCTGTGTTATGTTGAGCAAACTCTCCACATATTTCTCATAAAAATATACATCAGAGATCGTTTCAAACTGAATGTCAAACTTAGTTAAAGGTACAAACCTCTTCAAAGTTATTGTGAATATCAAATGGAACAATCAAATGCACATCAGCGTGAGCCACTTTTTTCTTAGGGGCTCTATCATGCCGATGGATTTAGCAACTTTGTGTCATTCTAGGTGATGGAGTGAGGCTTCTGCTCTCATCAGAATGACCTCTGTGGATGCTGGGTTGGGCTTTGGAGAATCTCCCTCTCCACCAAATTTTTAAAAAGTGTGTATAATCACTTATAAAAACATTTAAAAATTGATGTTCTATACCTTGCTGGACTTCTGTGATGATTACCTGGGTTATACATATGTAAGAATGTATCTAGCTGTATACTTTTCTCTAAGTTATAGTTCAATTAAATAGGAATACGTATTTTTGTATTCCATGGAATGTCAGCAAGAATTTTTTTTTTTTTTTAACAAAGTTCTTCCTGTTAAGAGGTTGACAAGGGAGATGTGTTTTGTAGGCCACTATTTAGTTGCTTAAAAATCTTAGTTCCGTAATCTAGTAGACCCTAAGTGCGGCGTTTTGAATTGATTCCTTGGTATCTTTTTGAAGGACCCAAAGTAAAATCAGTGCCTTCTTGGCAAAGAGATGACAACTCCTGCCTCTTTGCAGGAGGCAGGGGCGGGGGCGAAAGGAGATAGCTTTCCCCGCATCACAATATTCCATAAGCATACTGTTTTGTGGCTCTTGCCTTATTTTGTAATAGAGGTAAATATTCATTTCCAAAACGGATTTTGTACGTATTTCCTTGCTTTAAACATCTCCAAAGGCTCAATGGTACCGAGAAAGGCTAATTTCGAGGACATAGACATGTTACTGTCTAGGGTTAAACTCCAGAAAACGTATTGGTATTTGTATACTTAGCAGTGATTTGATGCCTGATTTTATCTAATATCTTTTATTTTTGAAGCAAATCCTAGGTGTCGCCCTGGTTTAGAGACAGTGGGGAGCCGAACTGCCTGGGTTCAAATCCCTGCTCCTTCACTGGCTAGTTTCTCACTCTGAGCAAGAAACTTTAAGAGGAACCTAATAATACCAAATGGAGCTGTTCTGAAGATCACTTGAATTAACAAGGCACTTGGTAAAGTTATTAGGGCACAGGGTAGACAAAAAGTTAAAGACACTTTAAGATTTTGCTGCCAATCAGTTATAACAGTAAATAATATAAAATGCTTTATTTCATGTGGAGAGATAGTATGCACAGATCATTTAATGCTTCGAGGATCCAACTACGGATAAGACTACTCTAGATAATACCTAGAGAGGGGAAAGTTATCTATTTGTGTGGAAATCTTTTGATTCCATTCCTAGTCAGGTATCTTAATTACTTAGAAGCTTTAGTATCTAACAGAATGAGGACAGCATAAAAACTTTTAAAAAATTATCAGGCTGGGCATATCAATATTTATTGAAATACTGAAAAAAAAAATCCATTTTGTCGAGAAATTCCTGGCAAGAACTGACATGACAATATGTATTTCACTGATACAGTAAGAAAACGCCAACAAGTAACCGACTTCACACTCTAAACATTGCATGGATTCAGGTCCAAGGTAGCTGCAGATCTGTAATACAAATGTTCAGACACTACAGATTGTCTGTTTACAAACATAGACCAACTATAATAAGCCACGCTAAGCCAAAAATGTTTGTATTTGAGTCTGCTTTTACTAATAAATCCTGTAATTGATAAGGCAGTTGCTAAGGAAATGTCTCGTGACAGACTGGTTAACAATGAGCACTAGAGAAATTTCATTTGCCAACTTTGGATGGGCCACAGATGTTGGCTGTGGTACATTCTTGTTTATCAACTTCTGTTCTTGATGTCAGCAGGAGTGTGGATGTAACTCTCCGTGTTGCCCATCTTTCTAACTATACTTAGGATGGAATTTGCTAGGTTAACAACATACCAGTAATTGACATTTCTTAGGTTTAATTTTCAGGGGAGAGTACTACTGTATTATTTAAAATAAGAAAACATGGACTTTCAGAATGAAGGTATTTAGGGTTTGTTTGTTTTTTTTTTTTGCAGTGTTAAAGACCCTCCAATTAACCATCCCACCAATCTCATAATTGCCGCCACCCATGTTCCACATGCAGGATGCAACCACTTCAGTAACTGTTAACAACACCCATTCTTCCCCACATGTCTTCTAGCCAACTTGGTTTTTAAGTGGGGAGGGTAAGGATGCCGCCAGTCTATTTAATGCTTGGGACATTGACTCTGATCAGCTGTTTTTCATTGTCCTTTGAGCTGCGATGACAGGTGACTGAGACTGCATGAGAAGCTGTGGACACTCAGCTTAGCAAATGTGTACCCTTCATGTGGACGAATATTAGAGGTGATTAAAAAAATAATAAAATAATCCTTTTTGTACACACAGAAGTAGTAACTAATATCTTTGGTATACAACTTACAACGCTTGTAAAGGAAACCAGGGAAGACTCTACCCTCGTTAAATTTACTTGGAAACAGAGGAAACTCTAAGTCACATAATTTACAATAGATATTAAATAAACTACAGTAAGAATTATGAAGATTTACAGACATTTAATCAAGTGAATGATTTTAATTCATTAAGACCCTTCTCTGTCCCTGAACTATGTTCCGCTAACTTGAAGACATGCTACAGTAAACACATATATTTGGTTTCTTCAGTCTTGGCTATATCTTATACAAAGGTGAAACCAAGGAACAATAAATTAGCATCATAATTGTCTACAGTTGAAACTATGATATACAATATAAATAAACTATTCAAAAGCCTGAAACATTTATGAAAAAATTAAGGGACTAGGAGATACTTTTAGTTTTTACAGTTTTTACAAGTGATTGTGCCGCTGATAATCTCAAAAAAATCAAAGTCTAAATGAGATTCCCATTGTTGATTTTAGTGTCTCACGACATACAATAATTAAGTACTGTTAAAAATAATTACCAATCAGAAAAATAACATTAAGGAAATTACTGCTTTAGCTATTTTGTAATATCACAGTTTCCCCCCTCCCCCCACAGGACCTAAAGAATGTAAACACTATCTTTTATTTGACTTGAAAGTATTAATACTTTATTTTAGACAAATGTTGATCCACATCTGCACAGCTACCTCTCAGAATTGTGAAATAAGGCAAGACTTCCATACCTGTGGCATTACATGTCAATAATACTGCTATCGTTTGGAGAGTTTGTTTTGCAATTCTTTGTCCTTCAGTATTTGTTCTAGAGCAGACTTTGGTCTATGACTCAGAAAGGTCAGTATCACTCTCTTCCTTTCCCTTTTGGGGAAGATTGGAATTGCTTTAGTATCTTTCCAGTCCATATGTAGGAATCACTGTTGCCGTTCTATGTTTAGGGGATGTTCAACTGCAACAAGCCGGAGACTTGAGGCAATTTATTAGCTCACCTTTTTCTTTCTTTTTTGCATAGCTTAACATGCTTCGGTTTTATTTTAAACTACTTAGCACTGTGACTATTTGACATCCAAGTAAAATATGTTTCAGGTTTTATTTTCAAATGAACTACAAACTTGGATGGTTCAAAAAGACGAATGTACCCCAATAAGCCTTTTGGCAAGAAATTTTTATGAAATCTGACAACGCCAAAGCCACATTTCAGTAACAATAGCAGAAATAAGGTCTAGCTTGCTTTAGCTATGGAGCATTTGCTTTAAATTTGTACTCCTTTCCCTTAATATTAATTAATGCTTATATAAGATCAGAAGAGGGATACTGTCTGCTTTTTTTTTTTTTAACATGAACACATGACAAAACAAACCAGAACATATTTCAAATGGCAAGCTAACATATTGTAGACTGTTCTTATTAGCTGTTTGCAGGTCTAAGACGTAGACATTCAAAATTAGGCTTTTCATGATTTGGTGGAGCTACTAGTGGGTGTGGCTGAGCACAAGTCTGTAAGGACAGATTCCGTGATCATAGGACAGAAGGTGCTGGGTCCTTGAAAGGAAGAAGGAAGGGCTATTACAGGTGCAGCCGATGGATTTTTTGAGTTGTTTTAGTTCAGCTTTACCATGGAGGCATTCTGTAAGCTCAAATCCCCTGCTGTATAAGCCTAATTAATAACACAGATCAGTTCCTAAATTTCTTCACAGCGGAGATCAGTTTAAATATACAAGAATTGTTCTGTCCATTTTCATTCCGATATGGGGTTGGTATCCATCTGTGAGTTCAATCCACTCCGTTACAATGTCTTTTATATGGAATCCTTTGGGGATGTGAAGCCTTTGATTCACAGTTTGCAATACAAATACCCTGATACATCATTTATTTGCTATTAAGTATTTGATTATTATGCCTTTTTAAACTCAATATCTTTAAACCAAGTTTTTAATTAGTGTTGCTTGGAGCAGTTCAGAGTATTTTTTTTTCTTTTCTTCCTGTTCTTCTTTTTTCCCCCACCAATCTCTTTTTGTTTTGAAAGCAGAGCTTTTAGGGGTTGGAACCTAAGCTCTTTTTGCATGCAACATTTCAATAAGGAGGTTATTATAGGGCACATCCCCATTCAGATGCTTATAGTAGAGGTATTCTTCAGCCTGCATGCTGATGGCCCGGATTTCGGGTAGTCGAAGAAGTAGCTGCCCGAATTTCTCTGTTTGCTGTGGGTAGTTGCACATAGTATAGTCCAGCAGGGCGGCATTGACTTGTTCCTGGACACCTTCTACCAGCTGGAAGTTCTCAAGGTTTTTGACATCTGGATTTAAAAAACAAAAACAAAAACAAACCATGATATTTTAATGGAATTTTAATTCCTGTTTACTACAGCAGTGTGTTCAATTAATGGATGTATTTCCTACTGACATAAAGCATACTTTATATGCTGCTGAATATTCAGTAAGCCCCACTCACCAAGCTTCCTGGGAAAAGGATCACAAAAGAGCTTTAGAAGAATGTCTTGTTGAAATTCTGCATATACCTCAAATCAATTAGACACCAATGGATTTTGAGCAAGGTCAACTCTTTTCATATCTTACAAAAGGAAAGGTTTGAGGATTCCTAAAGTAGAGGGATCATAATATATTGCCAGCAAATGAGTCCCTAGAGAAAGACCTATCTTAACCCAGTATATTACACAATTCACATGATTCTGTATTAATTTTTCTGACCCAAGGTGAAATCTGTGTCCCGGGTATGATGTAGTTAATTCTAATAAAAAGTGACAGGGTTCTTGTTTCTGTTTGACATTTTCTAAATGATTCTGAAAGCCTTTGACTTGTCTAGCCTATGCTAATGAACATCTGGTACACTCCAGTGACTGGCAACAGAATATTCGCTACTGAGAACTCTCTAAAATATATATCTCAGTGACTAATGATCTTTATCAAATGAAAGCCTTGTCCTTTAGGCAGAACACACTCCAGGATGGCCAGTGCCCTTTAACCTGAATGTGGTTTGAAAGTCTGATACTTTACTTTCCCTTTTTTTTTTTTTTCCTGGTCCTGGGTCACTCATACAGAGAAGATGGACATGGACAATTCATGCAGCCTAACTCCTGGTGATCATCCAGTTGTTTTAAGGCATCTGCCCTAGAGGTCCTTATAAATATTGAATAAGGGAGAAATAGAGAGTCAAAAAAAGACAGACTGACATACAAATACATACACAGACAATGAACAGGGGAAAATGGTGATGTTGGAATTTCTCTTCTGGAGTTTATTTACGTTAACTACAACTTTTATATAATGTGTATATAGAAGTCTCTGGAAAAAAATATATAGATATGTGTGTTTACATACATCCATGCTAAGAAAGTAAACAGATGCAGCACCCCTCCAGCCCTGTTTTATTTTCTAATTGGACAAAAATAAATAAGAATGATTCAGAAGAAAACCACATAATACTATGATTAAAAGGTTAAATGTACTAAACTCAGTACTAGTTACCATAGTAACTCATACCCAATACTTCTGGCACTGAACTTGGCTGTTAAACTTAGCCTGTACATATGTGCATGTCCATTTTGGTATCTCTAAATCCTCTTAAAATAAGGTTACTTACTTGCCTTGGGGGGGTGGGAGACAGGCAGAATGGGTGAAGGGGTGTATGAAATACAGGCTGCGAGTTATGGAATGACTAAGTCACAGGAATAAAGGGCACAGCATAGGAAATATGGTCAGTGATTCTGGACTAGTGTTGAGACAGACGGCAGCTACGCTCGGGGTGGGCCCAGCATAACATACAGAGAAGTTCGATCACTATGTTGTGTACCTGAAACCAATGAAACACTGTGTGTCAAGTCTACTCAAATAAAAAGTAAAAACAAACAAAAACAAAACAAAACAAAAAACAAAAAAAGGTTACCTTACATTTGCTGTTTAAATGTGTCTGGGATGATTTTAGTGTTTGTATTTTGAGCCATAACTTCACATTAAACATGCTTTCCCCTCCTCATCCTCCAAGTCTCTGCCCCAAATTAAAAACAGTGAGGAATAAGTACTGAAATAGGTACATAGTGTGAGCACCAGATACCACATGTATTTCAAAGTGAGGTGGGAGAATAAAAAAAATTGATTATTTATTAGTGAGATGTACCAACAGACAAATGCTACACTATTAGGCGCTGTGTCTTCTTATGGCATTGAAACTCGTAGGCAAGTTGTTGCCCACCTGACATTTTATGTATGTCCTACTTTACAGTTAATAAAGCATTTTCCATCTGATTTAAAATATTTTTAAAATGTTCTTAAATTATTATTATTTTTTAAAGATTTTATTTATTTATTTGACAGAGAGAGACACAGCGAGAGAGGGAACACAAGCAGGGGGAGTGGGAGAGGGAAGAGCAGGCTTCCCACCAAGCAGGGAGCCTGATGCAGGGCTCGATCCCAGGACCCTGGGATCATGACCTGAGCCGAAGGCAGACGCTTAACGACTGAGCCATCCAGGTACCCCCAAAATGATCTTAAATTATTTAAAAAGACTGATATGTTTAGTTACCTTTGGTTCAAAATTATAAAATGTCAACAATTGGAAATATCATTGATATGCTCTAGCTGGATTCAGGACAGAAGAATTTACACTCGTGTTAGCTTTGTCCCCTGCAGTGCATGTTCTCCTTTCAAGGGCTCACACTTTGGTGATGTGTGTGGGTCCTTCATAAAGGATCATGGCAGAGAGCGAATATCATTTAAAAATAGTTCAATTTTTGGCAAATTTCTCAGTGCTTTTTCTTTTTACCTTCATCCAACTGAGAGGAGACAGAATTCACCTTTCTCTTTTACATACGACTAGGAAGTTGAAAAAGAAAACAAGCCACTTTCAGTGTTATAGTAATCTAAACACAATTATAGAAAAACAAATGAAATGGAGTATTATTTTATGCTACAATGAAAGATATTCTCACAAGCAAGGAAATCTAACAAGAGTCATAGAATTAATAGGGAGGATGTAAGAATTTGCACAGTAAAAAATGTAAGATAAATAAAAGTCTTAGAAAGTTGTTCTTGAAACTTTCTCTTTTTTTGATAAATGTATTTTTTGAGACCTAGGTTCTACCTTCTGTGATAAATTATGCCACTCTGTTAAGAAAAAAAAAATCTATTAAAAAACATAAAACAAAAAGAATAGATCATTAGTCCTGGTTTATGTGCTTATTATTATCACAGAATGATCATTTAAGATCTCCAGATTAGCATGTGCTGGATAATTTCTATAAATACTGATCCAAACTGGTACCTTTGTTCCAAAAGTTTAAAAATATATGCCATTTTCCTTCTGAAGGAAAATATACAGGTTTCTCATACTATGGCCATATCTATAATTTTTCTCTAAAGTCCATCAGAGTTGAATTCATATGACTGAATTAATTTTCCCATTAAGCCATTTCTAAGAATTTCTCATTAAGTCTAACAAAACTTATGCTGTTAATTGCCCCAAAGGTACTTACTGAATGTCTATTTTGTTTCTATGTCTACAGAGACAATTTATAATTTGGCATCAATGATCCTGATATTTAAGCTATGTAAGGTTAAAAAAAAAAAAAGAAAGAACAAGATTTTTATGGAATTACTCTCATTTACTGACCAAGTCGTTCCTGGATCATTGCTCTGCTGGTTGATTCTACTTTCAGCTAGCAATTCCTCTCACAGCGTTTTGCATTGCTTTAGTAACCATCCGTTTCCCTAGTAGACTGTAAGCATCTTGGAGTGAGGACTCTGTATTAGTCAAAGCATCTCCAGAGAATTCTCCAATTAATGTTTGCTTTATATTATTGATGTATTTGTCCAAGACGGATATCACTGTGACATTACCTATTATATTCAACTGTTAAGTATCGTATAAGCCAATTTCCTTTCTTTTTCTAATTTGAAACTGGCTTTCAAAAATTGATTTATACAGTAGATTTCTCCCTGAAATAAAATATTTAAAATGTGACAGTGTTTTCTGGCTAAAGAATCCTGTGTGAATCCTGTGGTCTGAATAATCAAGTCTTAATTTACATGTTTTGCCAATGAGGATTTTCACTGGTCAGTTTTGCTTTAAGGGAAATGTGCCCACATCCTCATTTGGATTTGGAATAGGGTCCCTGAGCTCCTAAATTTCTTGCATCTCTGCCTGAGAGGCAGACCATAGTTTCCCTGCTATGGTCGAGATGGTTCACAAGGACCTAAAAGCAACAGAGAAGATGAGTGACACCACCTCTCAGGTGACACGACCTCTCAGAAGACTCAGAATTTTCTCTTTTATGTAGTTCATTTGTATTTACTTTTTGGGAAAAGTCCAGAAACTTAAGTGTGCTCCCACAATACTCATGGAATTCTCTCTTTTTTTTTTTTTAAGATTTTATCATTTATTTATTTATTTGTTTATTTATTGGGAGAAAGTGGGGGGAGGGGCAGAAGGAGAAGGAGGGAGAGAATCTCAAGCAGACTGAGCTGAGCACAGATCCCAATGAGGGGCGTGATCTCACAACCCTGAGATCATGACCTGAGCCAAAATTAAGTGTCAGATGCTTAACTGACTAAGTCACCCAGGCGCCCCATGGTATTCATGTCCTTTTGTGAAAATTCATATATGAAATACATTTAAAATCTTAAGCATTTTCTCTGGGATGTTCTTCCCGTAAATCAAGTCCTATTCCACATTAAGTAATGAATGGGGGCTGGCATACTTGGGAGTCTAAATTCATCTATAACAGGACTCTGTAACACCAAAACTTCATGAATGAACTGATATTAAATTACATGAGAAAACAGAATTTGGAAAATTATTACATATTCCGGAGTCCTCAGAAATCATATGTTTTTGAGATGTGCTGTTCAGTTCCTGTATAAATACCACTGTACCATATTTGGATGGTAGAAGAGGGGAGATTGACAGGAGACCAAAATTCCCACCAGTTCTTCTGCGGTCTCTTATGCTGGATCTTCAAGTCTCCTGCATTTGGCCCTCTATGTTCTCCTTTGAAATTTATAAGCTTCATCTTAATACAATTTAAAAATACAAGTTAATGAACTCTATCATTGCAAATTCAGAGTTGGAAATCGCATGTAAACAGACAGAGGCATCCCCAACCCTTTTTCTATAGCCTTTAAATTTTGATGACTGGCAAAAGCATTTTGTGCTTCTCCTCTAAGTATCAATCTCTTATCATCTATTCTACTTTATTCACTCAGGGACTAATTACCAACTTTTTATATGAAGCAGCATTACGATAAGCTCACAGTGGCATGCTCAGATTTTTTCCATCCTTAC